AATGTCTAAGGAAATTGTAACAGGCTCTACAGGTACTGCACAAATTAATTTGGGCTGTCTTCGCAGTCGCAGAGTTTTTGAGACAAGTTTTTTGCCAGGCCCTGCCTTTCCGCCCATTTTTCGGGTCGGCCTGTCAACCCACGTGCGTAGCAGAATTGCTTAGATAGAGTTTACAAGAGCATTGGGGCCCGCTCCCTCCCCTGCCATCCCAAATCGCCGTTGCGACCCTTCCGCCCCAACCTTCCTGCCCCCTCCCCTGCACCCGTCCCCTGGCCCCCCTCCCGTCTCCCCACCCCTCGCCCCAGGCCCAACAACCTAACCTAACAAATGAATTTGAGCAGGCGATTCAGGAATTGCACAACATGATATAGGCTGGGTCGCCGCGCCGGCCCGCTCTCTCCCCGTTTTTTCCTGCTCGGCCTGTCAACCCAACTGCCACTCTCACGGCAGCTGCACTATGCCTGCGACAGCACCACTGACCAGCACTCGAGCCGACCGAGGCAGCATGCGGCAGCGTTAATATCAAGCTCACAACGTCCCATCGAAAACTGCGTCTCATAACAGTTTCACATGATCCTTCAGCTTCGTCTTTGACTTGAAGTGAAGCAGCAGGCTCACCATTTCGGCCTGAGTTGTCCGCTCCCCCTCTTGAACATGCTCACGACATGCTTCGGAATGTCAGGCAGCGAGGAGTCAATGCACGAGATTGGTTCCAATTTGGGAAAGGACCTTGCAAGTCAGACCTCATGGGCCACGGCATCATTGTCCTCCACGGCTGCATGAAGGGGAAAGCGGAAGTTGAAGAACCTCAGCTCAGAGCCTCCCTTGAGAACACGAAACCTCAAACCGAATCGTTTGTGACCTTTTTGTAGAAGCTCTGCCTCGAACATGAAGCGTCGTTCCTCTTGGTGCACATCTAAGAGTGGAATAGTATTTATTTCGGATGGGTACGTGATGTTTGCAGGGATCCTAGCACATCACAATGAGCCGCGGGGCAGGACGTAATTGACTGTCCTTCCTTCAAGCGATTTGCGAAAAGATCCAAGATTGGAATTCTGGCCAAATGGTGCCAGCATTGCAGATTTTAGGAGCTTGGTAACAAGGGAACGCATTGCCAGTAGCACTCCTGGGAAAAAAAGAAAGCCCGTGGCCCGCGCCATCCGCTGCTGGTATTGACATCTTTGAAGCGATGCTTCCTCTGAGACTCAGGATTTAGAGCCAAGCTGGCAAGGCTTGGAAACTGAGAAGCCGCTACCCAGCCTGAGAAAGCTCAGCAGTAGTTCACGTCGCGCTCGCTCCTCTAGCGCCTCTCTCACTTTCGTGCTTGGGACAGGCTCACAGTGGAATTGAAATCCCAGACTGTCCCGAATCCCTTGCTTGAAGCATAGCAGCGCCTCCTGTGCTTTGGACCAGAAGGCTTCTTCCTTCACGAGCTCCTCTGGTTGCTTCCTGCCAAGCAAAGCTGTTGCAAACTGCTTTACCATGTTGTAGGAGCTCAGCCTGTTGGAGGGTATCACCTCGCTGTTGGGCTCCCCCATATCCTCCTCACAAATGAATACAACTCGGGGCTCGGAGGACTGTGTGTGTGCCCTAGTACTGGCTTCAGGCCTCGTGGTCGTTGTGGTCGAGGGTCGCGCCAAACACCTGGCGCAGCAAACATCTAAGAACTTGGGAGGGCCCCGGGTTCACGGGCAGCCTAGGGACATACAAGGCCGGTTTTGTGCGGAGAGGAAGAGGCTACATCTTTTGTAAAGGCGCGAAGCTCGGCATCACTCAAGTGCATGGTGATACGCATAGGAAGACTTGCGGCAGCAAGAGTGGCATGAAAAGGGTTGTTGCTCTGGCTACTGGGCTGATAGCCCTGATTGCAGTGCCTGCGGCTTGGGTGCCTGCATGGTAGGCGTGCCCTCATCCTGCCAGGCTGAGGTGCAGCTTGAAGCGGTTTCTTGCTGCGTTACTCTAGCTGCTTTCAAAGGTGCACAAATTGTCTTTTGAGTGCATACTTCCGACCCTTTCTGCAATATTCGGAGCTTGAATGGATGTAGCTGTGCACAGGATTCAACTGACTTGCGACTTGCGCTGGTTGCTATTGATGTGCGAGAACTGTTCATTACATCTGCTCATCATAGTTCCACGGTTGGGTCCTGGTAAGGGCCATGCCCACAGGTGTCAAGCTCAGCAATCATGCAAGGCCCTTGACTACCCACGACTTCAAAGAGCAATCGGGGAGCCTCACCAAGCAGGCAAATAGGCATCATCACCCATGGTAGAGCACATCTCTCTTCGTTCCCGGTTTATCTCCATTCCATGTGTGCCGTAGTCTAAACTCCTATCATCCCGCTTACTAACCCCTGTATAGTAGTCCCCTATGTAGTCCCTTCTATAACCCCTTTCAAGCAGTTTAGATAATGGCTCATGTGCCGTGTGCTGCATACTTTGCAGGAAAACAACACCGAATCGCGCTTGTGGGCTGCCTTCTCACGCAGATCAGGCAGGCGTGATGTTAGAAGAGTGGGCCTCAGTAGTAGCAGCAGTAGCAGGAGCAGAAGTAGGAGTAGGAGGAGGAGTAGTAAGAGTAATAGTATGAGTAGGAGTAATAGTAGTAATAGTAGCAGTAGTAGTAGCAGTAGTAGTAATAGTAATGATAGTAGTAGTAGTAGTAGTAGTAGGTAGTAGCAG